AAGAAATGGGGGCTATTTTGCATGACAAGGGCATTTTATTTCTTTTCGCCCACTTACTGTTATTCTGCACCTTGTTGTTTGACCTCTTATAAAATAAACCTTTTCCTTGTTTCACTCTGCCTGGTCCTCATGCCTGTTATTCGGCCAAAAGGGAGGTCTGAAGGTCTTGGGAGGGTGCTCTGGGCCTTCTCAAGGGAACCTAAATCCAGAGTGGTGGCAGCGTCAGGTGACACCCCACCTGAGCCGTTACAGTACCAATTTTTTATTTTATGCCACGAAAGAACACAACCAACCTCCAAAATTGGCAACAGTCTTTTCTACCAGGGCCTGGCCCAGGCAGACCATTCAACATCTTACCTGCTGGCTAAATGCTTCCAGGCACGTGGCATGGCACAGATGATGGTGGAGAAGGCCACGGCAGCCAACAGAGAAAACAGGATGAGGTACAGCAGGCCTTCCACCCCATCATAGCAGATCCCAATCAAGGCATCCAGATAATCCTGTAATCAGTGAGCAGGAAAAAAAAAATCAGTCCTTTGCCAATGGCTTGCACTCCAAAACCACGCTGTATACCTTTCCTTTCTGCTCACCTTGTGCAGGCCCCTGCAGTCCAACATGGCAGTTAGCTGGTGGAGGCTAGTCTCCGAGGAGTTGAGTAGCTTCTGCATACCAAGAAGGTCTTTCTGCAGAGAAGGGAAAGTGGTGAAGGAGGCTGGCAGAGACAAAGGCTGACAGTAGTGAACAGAACAACATATTAAGAGGATGGCTTAGCAGTGGTATATTCCCAAATACACCCAGCAGTGGAGACAAAACTGGAATTCATAGTCCAGCATTCTTCCCACAATGCTATAAAGAATCTTGAGCCTCCTGCAACTTACACTGTTAACTGTTATCCTCATAATTTTGTCAAGCATCATTGCACGTTGGAACCGTGGCCTGGGAGGTTACTGGGTAATTTCCTTCCTCAAAAGGAAAACTGCAACTACAAATGTATGAACATCTGTCTCTGACTTGACGTTGGCTGATTGAATGTCATGAGCAAATAATTTTTTTTTTCATCTAGTGCTTGAAAATTCAAGTGGTTTGGTGCCAGGCAGGTTGCTGAGGAGAGAAAAAGAATAAATGGGCAGCCCTTGCAATGGAGCCCTCAGCTGGATGGCCCAGGCTAACCCAATCGCATCCGCTCTCGGAAGCTAAGCAGGACCAGCCCTCTTTAGTACTTGGATGGGAGACCACTGAGGAAGTTCAGGAGTCTTTATGCAGAGGAAGGCAAAGGAAAACCACCTCTGTCCGTCTCTTGCCTTGAAAACACTACATGGGGTCACCGTAGGTCAACTGTGACTTGACAGCACTTCCCACCACCACCACCTCTTGCAATGAAGGGAAGTGAGGGGCGTGGTCCCACAAGGATCAATGCTGGGACTGAATTTGTTCACAAACGATTTGGAATTGGAGGTGAACAGTGAGGTGGCCAGTTTTGCAGATAATACCAAAACATTTAGGATGGTGAAAACCTTAGAGGAGGATCTCTCTAAATTGGCTGATTGGGCAACAATGTGGCAAATGAAATTCAATATAAGGTGATGCATAGTGGAACAAAAAATCCTAATGTTAGGCTGAGATTGAATGAGATCTTGGAGTTGTAGTGGAAAGCTTGATGAAAATGTTGATCTAATGTGAAGCAAATGGTGAAAAGCTCCATGCCAGGAATTATTAGGAAAGGGAATGAAAATAAAATGGTCAATATTCGAATGCCCTTGTATAAAGTTATGGTGCAGCCTCATTTGGAATATTGTGTGCATTTCTGGTCGCCGTATACAAAAAGTACAAAAGAGGGCCAACCAAGACAATTTGATGGTTAGAGTAACTTTCCTATGAGGAAAGGCTGGACAGAGTGAGACTTTTCAGCTGACGAAAAAAGACAGCTAAGGGAAGAAATGACAGAGATTTATAAAATTATGCATGGGGTTGAGAGAGTGAATAGAGGGAGCTTTTTCTCCCTCTTCCATAAAACTAGAAATTGGGGGCACTCAATGGATTTGTTGGGAAATAGACACAAGACATACAAAAGGAAATACTTCTTTACCAATAATTCAATTGCCGAATTCACCACCAGCAGAGGTACTGATGGCCATGATCACAGATAGCTTTAATGGGGGGTTCGATGAATTCATGGAGGTGAGGTCCATCAGTAGCTATTAGCTGTGGTGATTGAAGGGAGCCTCCATATCCAGAGGCAGCAAACTTCTGAATACTGGGTCTGTAGCCTGTTTCATTGTCTCTTCATGACAACTGGTTGGCCATTGTGTGAAACAGTGTGCTGGAGTAGACAGACCACTGGTCTGATCTGGCAGGCTTTTCTTATGTTCTTATGAGAACACACCATATGTCTGGCACCACAACTGAGAAAACCCTGCAGCTGGTGCTCACTGGTCTAGCCTCAGAAAATTAAGGAAGGCAGAGCATTCTCCATTGGTTATTTTAACTGACAGGAAAATGTGCATGACATGACTTGCTCAAGATATGCTGAGTCATGGTCAGGGTTCCTCTCTATAAACCTGCAAGAACACACATATGACTCTACCTTATACTGACTCACACTAATTGTTCTATCAAGGCCAATACTGTCTATTCTCACTGGCAGTGACTCTCTAGAGTTTCAAGTACAGGTATTCCATATCACACACTACCCAATCCTTTTAAAACTGGAGATGCCAGGGATTGAACCTGGCACCGTCTACAAAGCAGATGGTTCACTACAGAGCCATGGCCCCTCCCCATACCTGCTATTCCTACATGGTATGAGAGACTGTTTCCAGAATATTTGCAGCCCAGACTCTTTGGTCTCCTGGTTCACTTATCCTACTCTATGTCAAGGGCATCCGTGCCTTCCCAACAGCATGCTTTATTCTTCCTACTGTTTGCCAGCACTTCAATCTGTCTACAGCAAAATCTGGCATTCTCTGTGCTATGTCCCTCTTCTAATAGTGCTAGCCTAAGAGAAAGCACACATTTGTTTAGAGGCCCAGTTTTAAATGCATATTCAAAAAATCCCACAGATGGATCCTCAAGGTCCTTAGGATAATATATGCTTTTTACCTCGGCAGAAGGGAAAATGGGTACAGCAAATTGCATCAGTCCCTGAATCTGAATTTGCATGGTAGTGAGAGAACGCTGGTAGATCGTCAGAGCCTGTAAACAAAGAACAGCACACCGTAATCCAAGGTTTGACTCATCATGCCATGGGCATAACCCAAGTACTGGAGAGTGTCAGTGCCTTGAGACAGAAGAGTTGGTTTTTATATCCTGGTTTTGTTACCTCCCCAGAGGTACCTGTGCTAAACTCTCTCTGGAAAACTCAGAGGGACCCAGCAGCCTGAGAGGCAGTAAGGCCAGGGTCCCACACCTCACATTGGCCTGGCATAGGCAGGCAACAGGGAGCCAGAAGAGACTTCATTTTGAACCAGCCAAGCTAGACCAGGAGGAACCGAGCCCAGTAGAAGGAGCACGGACAGAGGACCTCATGATCAGTCAATAATTAACAAAGATCTTCATCAATGTACTAATCCTTAAAACCCATCTTCTCTGACCCGGGCACTAATCTGGTTAAACTGAACTGTCTCCTTGAAGTAATTTCCAGTCTAGCACCCTTTTCCCAACCAACATCAAGCCAATGACATGTAGAAAGACAAACACTGGTGAAACCAAGCATCCTGCACATCCTCAATTTTAATCTGGCTACTCATTAAACCCTGGGTCAGCCCACCCCTGACTCTCCAAGCCACATTTAAACTGGCACTCTGCACTTTAATGTTTGTACAGCTCTTGGGGCCCATAAGAGTGTACCCTCAGACTCTGTCTGAGCCTTTGACATGAACCACTGGTTGGCTATGTCTTTCTTCTTCCACGTGGATTCCAGACTTCAGGATCAGGTGAATATTACCCTCATCTAAAACTAACCCCCTTATTGGCACTATCGATCACCTCTCTATTTCCTAACTCGGTGTGTGTTCATCTGTTGTTATTATTTTTGCATGAGTGAGTAGTGTGAGCTTTGCATTTATTTACAATAAAAACTCCATTTATTTAATCAAAAGGTCTCTTCCTTCCACTGGTATCTCTCGCAATTTGACCCTCATATACAGAGAGTATAAAGAACGCTTGTACACAAGTACTGCCCCAGGCAATCCGCGTAACAGTTTTCTCTACCCCAAGGAGTCTCAAAGCAGCTTACAATTGCCTTCCCTTCCTCTCCCCACAATGGGCACCTTGTGAGGTAGGTGTGGGGCTGAGAGAGTTCTGAGAGAATTGTGACTGGCCCAAGGTCACCCAGCAGCCTTCATGTGGGGGAGTGGGGAATCAAAACTGCCACTCTTAACCACTACACCACGCTGGCTCAGGTCAATGCCAGCCTCCTCCAGATCCTGGAAGGTAGGTCTTAATTGCCCAACAACACCCAAAATACCAGACCCCTGAAAGCTACAGAAGATGGATCTCTCTTCTCAAGGGTTCCCCAACAACCTTGTTGTGGCTTATTCTGAACAGCTGTCCGTTTCCACTGAAAGCCTTGGAATGCAGGGACATTCAAGAGTCAGGGAAACTATAAGGCATGCATCCATAGGAAAACATCTCAGCTAAGTTACGCTCAGATACCATAACTAAGAGCCCTTTTCCTTGGACAGACTTCCCAGAAGAAAACCAAGGGACTCAATATCTCAAAGAGAGAAAACAGTGTTGCACGTACCTGTAACTGTTGTTCACTGAGATGTCTTCTGTGCAGGCATACTTTGGGACTGCACCTGCACAGGCTGGCTATCAGAAGCTCTCTACCAGATGGTTCTATATGAGTAAATGGGTGTGTTTTTCCAGATGAGCGGAGTCACAAGGAGTTTCCCCTGAGACCTGCCCTATTGCTCTGGTGTTCCAATAAGGCTCTGCAGCCCTCCGCTGGATACTTAGTTGGGTTACTATTGGGCCAATAAGATCAAACAGGGAGGCCATGCAAAGGTTAGCGATACCAGTAATAGGGGGGCGGAGGAGATATAGCGGTGGGACTAGGTGGAATTCCTGTAGAAGGAATGGAAGAAGCTGGAGATATGGAGATGCCTGGACTCCTTCCCACCTATGTCCCATCCTGAGAAATGCCGATTGTGGGGTCAAGGAATTATACCCTTCTCCAACACTGGTGTTGTGCAATGCCAGGTTCATTAATAATGAGACCTCCGTTCTCCAGGATTATCTCGCAGAATGTAATGTAGACCTGGCTTGTGTGACTGGGACTTGGGTGAAGGAGGGCGAAACTGTCACCCTGAACAAACTTACCCCACCTGGGTTCTCAGTCCTCCACCAGTTGCAGACTAATGGGCGTGGGGGCGTGGCTATGCTTATCTGAGAATCTTTTTCCTTCAGGGTGCTCCCCACACCAAAAATCACTGGCATTGAATGTGTAGGCCTTGCATGGAAAGCTGAGGAGAGTTTGGCTGTCTGGTTGGTGTACCGACTGCCGAACGTACCACCAAACATCCTGCTTTGCTTGTTGGACACAGACTGGGCTTTGCAGTACCCCAGAATGTTGGTCCTGGGAGATTTCAATGTCCACGTCGATGATGTGTCGTCCATGAGACTCTCCCAATTTACATCGACTCCCACGCACCAAGCAGGCCACATGCTAGATTTGATTTTTGGGATGGGGATAAATGTTGATCTGGAAACTGCAGAGACAGTATCATGGTCAGATCACTTCTCCTTGAAGGTCCAGCTGAGCATACCACACCCTCCTTGTTTAGGCGGTGAGCAGATTTACGTTTGTCCATGAAGCCTAATGGACCCTTCAGGATGCTCTGCAGGATCCAATGCCCCCTGCTCTTTAGATGATCTAGTGGAGGACTGGCATTGCCGGTTCTCCAAAGCTATCGACCAGATTGCCCCCTGGTGCCCTCTCCGCCCTTGTGCCAAACTTGCTCCGGGGTATACTACGGAGGAGGAAATGAGAGCTGAGACAGCTAGAGCAAACGTGGCAGTGTACTCGTGATGAAGCAGCAAGAACATCTTATAGGACATTTATGAAGGCCCATGAGATGGCAGTGAAGGCAGCAAAGAAAGTTTTCTGAACTGCCTCCATTGCATCTGCGAGCTCTCGCCCCACCCAATTATTTAGGACAAGTCAATCACTGATGACTGTGCCGCAAGGCAGACCAAATAGTAGAGAATTGGCTATTGGCTGTAAGGCATTTGCAAGCTATTTCACAGATAAAGCTGCCAGGTTTTCCTGACCACAATTGAAACAGTAAGGGAACTGGAAGCTCCTTGCCTGTCTTCTGGTCTTTTATTGGACCATTTCAACCGACTCTCTCTGGAGGATATTGACAGGATCCTGGCAGCTGTAAGGCCCACCACTTGCCTCCTCGACCCGTACCCGTCCTGGTTAATTAAGGCTTGCTAGGATGGTGTGCAGGACTCCCTGGAGAAGAGGATCAACTTGTCCCTCTTGACAGGGACTTTCCCAGTGGAGTTGAAGCAGGTCCACTTTTGAAAAAGCCATCATTGGACTCAGTGGTCCTAGCCAACTACTGCCCAGTGTCTAATCTGATGTTCCTGGGTAAGGTAGTTGAGAGGGCAGCGAATGAGCAACTTCAGGCTTTCCTGGGATGACGCATCTGTCCTGGATCCATTCCAGTCCAGTTTCCACCCTGGCCATGGGATGGAGACAACGCTGGTCACCCTCACGGATGGTGGTCACCCTTCGGCAACACCCTCATGGTGCTGGTCACCCTTCGGCAACAGCTGGATCGGGGTGGGGTGGAGCTGCTGTTGCTTTTGGATCTGACGGCAGCATTCAATATGGTTGATTATGATCTATTGACCCACCACCTTGCCGACATAGGAGTTAGGGGGATTTCATTACAATGCATTCCCTCCTTTCTTTGGGGTCAGGGACAGAGGGTGGCTCTTGGTGAGATGGTCTCCCAGTGGTGCCCACTGGAATGAGGAGTACTGCAAGAGGCGATCCTCTCACTGATGCTTTTTAATATCTATATGCGCCCCCTTGCCCAGTTGGTATGGAGGTATGGTCTGGGTTGTCACCAGTATGCTGATGACACCCAGCTTTTTCTGTTGATGGATGGCCACCCGGACTCCACCCTGGAAAATCTGGGCAGGGCGTTAAGAGGCCATGGCTGGGTGGCTAAAACAGAATCAGTTGAAACTGAATCCATAAAAGACAGAGGTCCTGTGCCTGAGCCGGGGCGGAGTAGGTTTGAGGATTGGGCTACCGGTTAGGAGTCTAGGGGTGATTCTGGATGCCTCAGGTCATCACTACTGTCAGGTCTGCCTTTTATCATCTTCTGCAGATCAGGCAGTTAGCCCCTTATCTCTCTGCCCAGGATCTGGCTACAGTGACCCATGCAATGATCACTTCCAGGTCGGATTACTGTCATTCGCTCTATGCAGGCTTACCCTTGAATCTGACCCGGAAACTCCAGCTAGTGCAAAACGCATGGGTTGCCTGCTAACTACAACGCCTTTGCAAGCATGTATTCAGTCAGTGCTCTGCCAGCTGCACTGGCTACCTATTGAGTACCAGATCTGTTTCAAGGTGTTGGTATTAACCTTTAAAGGCCAGAACAGCCTGGGACCTGCATATCTAAGGGACCGCCTCCCCCCATATACCCCGTGGAGAGCCTTGCACTCTGCTGATCAACATCTACTATTTGTTCTTGGCCCTAAGGATGCCCACCATGGCCCTTTCTGCCCTGGTCCCTACCTGGTGGAACGTGCTCCCATTTGAGATCAGGGCCTTGCGGAACCTATTACAGTTCCACGGGGCCTGTAAAATGGAGCTGTTTTGCTAGGCTTTCAGTTGAGGCAGTGGACACTCAGTTAGTTGGCCTCCCTATACAGAGCCTATATAAAGACTGCCTTAATTAAAGGTGGTCCGGACCATCTACCCTACGTGGAGCGAAGCTTCTTTATGGGGTGCCCATTTGGATCACAGCTTTTAACAAAATGGTAGAACAACTCCAATCCAATTTTGTGAGGAAAATATTAGGGTTGCCCCTGTGTGTTTCCTACGCCGCTATTTGTTTGGAAGTCAATATGATACGCTTGGAAACAAGGGCTTGGATAATTACCTTCAGATTTTGGCTACGTTTGCACTTTAGGAACTGTCCCAATAGCCTTATTACATATCTGTTGGAAGAGTCTCATTGCTCTGAGTGGTTTGCTGCTATAGAAAGGAAAATCGTCTCAATAGGGTTATGCGTGAATGATATGATGTCCTTATCTGAAGCACACATCTTTGCCCTGCTCAAACAGAGATTAATTGATATTGAGATGCAAGAGCTTAGAGCCTTGGCTTCTGGTAGATGCTCCCCTTTAAGATGGGCACGGTTTCCGATCAACACCCCTGCACAATACTTATTGGATTTGACTTCTCCACAGTTGCGTAGAGCATTTATGCTGGCCCGCTTTAACGTGCTCCCCTCTGCGGTTTTAGCAGGAAGATTTAAGAAAATCCCCTACTCTGTTAGGTTTTGTGATTGTGATTCAGAGGAGATTGAAACAATCGAACACGTATTCCTCCACTGTAGTTTGTATGATGACATTCGGGCAGTCTATCTAGAAGCCATACTTAAGAAAGATGTCAAACAATCAGATGACAGAATGTTGTACCGTTTATTGGCTTCACAAAATACAGTGGTCATTGAAGCGGTGGCTAATTTCTGTAACTGCCTTATAATGAGGAAGTTATGTGTTTAATCAATGAACTGAAGGGTGACTGTTTATGACTCTGATCCATGCCAATAAAGGTTTTGAATTGAATTGACTGCCTTAATTAAAGGTGGTCCGGACCATCTACCCTACGTGGACTTCAGGATTATGTGGATGGGACTCTAGTATCATCTATCCGGTTTTCATGGAGGGTCTGAATTATTGCTTGCCATCTTTAACTGTTTAATTGTTTTCTGCTTTTAATATTTGTAATGTTTTTAGAGTAACTGTGTCAATTGATTTTTACCATTATATGTCTTGACATTACCCGCCCTGAGCCCATTTGGGGAGGGTGGGATATAAATTTAATAAATAAATAAAAAACCTGATGACCCTTAAGGGTTCTGGCTTAGCAGCTTCCTCCCAGAAAGTACATCTAGTGGCCATCTCAGTTTACCATACAAAGGTTCAAGGGAAAACTCTTTTCTCGCACCCAGTGTCCAAGAGTTTTCTGAGGGGGTTGTTTAATCTGCCCCCCCCCAAAGTACTGATAGTGCCGCAATGGTCCTTGTCAGTGATTCTGTCCCAACTCATGCTACCACCCTTTGAACTGTTGGGGTCCTGTAGCCTAGACCTTTTGTCTTTTAAGTTTCTGTTTTTGGTGGCAATTTCTTTGGCAAGGAGGGCAAGGGTGTTCACTGAAGTGCCTTCTGTGCAGGTGCACATTCCCTCTCTCCTACCCCGCTGTGAGCTCCTAGGATGTATCTTGGTTCTTGGGACTTACGGTGGCTCAGGAGAACTGAGGTCAGGGGGAGTCCTCCCCTGCAGAGCATGTGATCATTTGAGCGGGAAGACAGCCTCCAGAATGCTCTGCAGGGGAGGGGCTCACCCCGAGTGTTTAAAATCCTAGTACTAGCTGGAAGAGAGCCTCCGGTGGCTGGCCTGTGCAAGTGCAGTCCCAATGTGGGACTGCACAGAAGCCTGAAGATGAACCAGAAAAGTCACATTAATTCCTGGAATGACAGTTTTTTCTGCCCAGTATGGGTTCATTAGAGACACCAGCAGTGTAGAGCTCTGATAAGAGAACATGAGGTCAAGTACGTACCTGCTGGAAGGGGTTGGTCAGACTCTGGCTGCAATACAAGTAGTAGCGAACTATCTCTACAAAGATAAACACAAAGGGGGGGAAGCATCAGTCATAGTGCCACCTACTGTTATTCAACATAGCTTTAGGGACCCCTAGTTTAGATTAAGGCTTCACTGGCCCGCTATAAGCAAAGGGTGTGAAATTCTTGGGAGCCTCTATTTCACTTCCTGTTTGTAAGTATTGGACACAGGAGCGAGTTCCTTGGTGTGAGTCAAAGGACGAAAGCCCAGGTGATTTAGGCCCTTAGCCTGTTGCTTGCAGCCTTCATTCCTGAGGATTCAGGATCAAACCAGGATGCAGTCTACTGTTGTATTATAGTTTATTGTGCTTTGGTTTTTTCTATTTATTTGAACTGTATTTTTATAAGCTGCTTTTGGTTCCCATTTTAACCCTCAGATGGCAGGAGGGGACTCACTGAGCTGCAGCATGAAAGGGTAGAAGCAGAGTTGTGATTTCACCAATGGGGAGGGGGGGATGTGTGTCACAAATCAGTGAGGAGCACTGGAAAAATCACCTAGTAAGAGTGAGGGAGGGTGAGTGGGCTGGGGTTGGGGAAGACAGCAGGCTAAGGAGAGCTCCTGCATGTTCATGGGCCAATGGTATGGAGAAGACAGAGGACAAGGGGGAGCTTTGGAAGGGGAAAGGAAATACCCTCTACTGCTGAATGACCTTGCCTGGCCATTCTGTCACTCCTCTCAGCATACATACACACCAAGAGAGGCAGGAGGTGCACCCTTAGTGCACTAACAGCTGGTCCTCCCAAAAAGCAGCAGCAACAAGAACAGCAGCTCTACAAGAGCTCTCAACTTACAGTGATAGGTAGTAATACAGTGGTTTAGGCCACAGTCCCTGTCCCTTTACCAGCGCAACTTTCTGACCATTTCGTTACAGTACAATCCTAATTACTTGTGCAAAAAGCCCTCTTGAATAATTCTGTTTTGCATAATTGGAGGACAGTCAGGAGAGTGGGAGCCTTCCTGCCCTCCCTCAGGGAGGCCACTCCATTAAGTGGGGGGCACAACAGAGAACACATGCACACAGACAGTTATCAACTGTTCCGGGTGTGTGTGTGAGAGAGGCCTGTGTGTGTGTGTGTGTGTGAGAGAGAGAGAGAGAGAGAGAGTCCTGTGAGTTAACCAGGAAGATCTGGAGTTAGTCCACTGCAGCTCTCTCAATCACTTTGCCTAAAAAGGTCAGATTAAAGACTGGGTGATAATTAGCAACATCATTTTTATTGAGGGATGGTTTTTTAAGTAGTGTACAGACGACTGAGTGCTGGAGGGAAAGTGCCTTGGGTTAGTGACTGATTCATGATAGTCATCAAAGGCTCATTTATGTGGTTCTTACATGATTTCAGCAGCCAGGATGGAAAAGGATCTAGTGGTGGCCTTCGCTGATCGCGTCAAAATGGTCCATAATCAGACTAGATGATATATTAGGCATTTCGTCTGCCAGCCCTATGTTACCAGCAGCATCCAGCATATTCGTGTTATTTTATCAGCAAAGAACCTCACAAAGGTGTCATAGGTAATAGTTTCTGAGACAGTAAAGTTTTAGATTTAGGACTCAGCAGTTGATGGGACACCTTAAACAGCTGGGAGGGTCCTGAGGTAGCTCATGCAATAGCTGTAGAGAAATAATATTCCTTTGCCACTATCACCACTGCTTCATAAGTTTTCCAATGAGCTCTGTAGCATGCTCTGTCGGATTCGGTGTGAATTCTCCACCAGCATCTTTCCAAACGTCTTCTTGGCCTTCTTTAGGTCAGCCTGCTCTGCAGTGAACCATGGGGCTGGCTTTCACCCTAAGAGGGGGGAGCAGTCAACAAGTAGCTTTATGCTCCAAGTTCCCACTTCAGCCTCAACAGGGCAAGTGTTTGGAATTCCAAAATCTCCTAGAGCATTTTAGAATAAAAAGGATCCGTGACCTGCTGTGGGAAGACCATTTTAACTCCCCCCCCACACTTTTGCGGGGTGTTAGTGCTATAGTCACCCTTGCTTTCAGTAGATAATGCTCAGACCATGGCTCAGGCTGAATCTCTAATTGTAAAATAAGACCTCCTTTCAGAGCCTCAGTGCAAAAGATAAGTCCAGAGTATGGCCTTTTTCATGTGCTGGGCCCGTCATGATTTGAGCAGTCAAAGAGGCTACAAAAGCCCTGAAGACGAGCAGTCAGTATGAATGGTGAAGTCACCCAGAACAACCAGTTTGGGTGTCTTCTTGGTTCCAATGTACATAGCTGCTGTGCCTTTTCCTCTCCATATATGGGGGACCTTCTCCAGGTATTGGGTGGAATGGCAGGGCCTTGGCTATGAGCCCCAGGGCGAGAGCCCTTGTGCTCTCATCCTTTGGTTTGCGCCAAAGGCCTACCTGAAAATGATAAGGAAGAGAAGCCAGTAGCCAAGCTCAAAATAAGACAGCATGTGTATTTCACGTGCCAGCCAGAGCACTATGGCTTCATTTGAATATTGGCTTTCATTAAAGGTGCAGCTACATGCTCCCCTGATAAGCCTTTCTGCTGTCAACCATATGCTTGCTACTTAATGCATATATGGGCTAAGGGGATGCTTGACCCCTTCTTGTGTCCACTGATTTTTCTCCCCTGCAAATCATCCTCCTCCTGTCCCAGGCCATTCTTCCCTGCAGTCAATGGTTTTTTTTGCAGTTTCAGAGCTTGGCTAGAAGGGGAGGAAAAACACAGTAATGCACACAAACACCCACCAGTGTAAGAAAGGGTTCTGGATGTATTTAAAGGACAGAAACCAGTGGGTGTGTAAGGGTTGAAGTAGCCCCTCCCTTGGAAATGTCCAGTGTGATAGTTAGTTTCACCCCACTGGGCTGTAAAAAGCTGCTTTTGCATTCAGTGCTTGGAAGTGCAATGGGGGGGTGGGCAGTATCAACAGTGCACTTCACTCCCAAGTTCATCAGCTGCAACAAGGAAGTGCTGGGTTAACTGTGGAATCAGCTCTCAGAACACATGCTTTTAAACTAAGCCACATGTTATTTAAGCTAAATTCAACTCTGATGCAAGCATAGCTATGGCTTTGGGCACTCTGCACATGGTTAAGCTTACATCCCCACAGTTTTAATCTGCTGCAGCATTACTGCCTGAGCCATGTACTCGAGAGACATCCTAAGGAGAAGTATGCCAGTTCGTGCAGGGCTGGTAGCTGGGTTCCATAAGCTGTTGCCAGTGACGTTTCTCTTTGGCCAGTGGCTCTGAAAGCACAGTTTGGGTACCTCATGCAAATATGCCAAGAGCAAAACCCATTACCTGCACTGAGGCCACTCTGTGTCATATTCAGGATGATCTTGTCTGGGGCTACGCAGAAATCACTGGTACCCTGCAAGCATCAGCATGAAAAAAGAAACCACTGTGATGACTGGAAGTGGGACTAGGAAGCATTTTCACATGAGGTTTAAACTGATCTTAGCATCTTCCATGCCTGTATTATGAATGTACATTGAAAGAAGCAGCATTTGATTTTTCTCTCTCCTGCATTAACATTTACATATCTCCTGCATTAACATTTACACACATGTACAAGAGGTACTTTAAGCATCATGCTTGAAAGTCATAAATCAGCCTCTGGTGTGGTGGTGGAGGAAGGCGATCAGGAGGCTGCAAGACCAAAAATACTTCCTGATCAATGGGATCTCCTTGATGATGTCAAAAGAATGCAATGAACTACTTTACAAATGGCAGAAAAGGAGCGATGTGCCTAACTTCCTGCCCCAAAATCTAACAGAGGAACAACATTCAACCAGTGCTTCTTAAAGGGTACTGGCAAAAGCATGGCTTGAATCGCTCAGTCCGTTTCCACTGATCCCCCCCAAGACCCTCTGCTGTTCACGAGGGTCCCCCCAACCACAGCCAGGAAGAACATTTCAGTGGGTTGCAATGTGAGGGCCAGGCAGGAAGGTCCTCCTGTGTGAACTCTGTTATATTTGAAGATCTCGAGGAATCCAAGTCACTGAATACTGAAGTCAGGCAGCTATCAGAAGCCCAGCACATAATAGAGTTGCCTATGCAGCCCGAGGAAAAATAGAAAAATAGAAAAAACAGCCCAAGTCTCAAGGCTGCTTCACACCCTGCCAGTGGTTAAGTGCACGGACTCTAATCTGGGAGAACCGGGTTTGATTCCCCACTCCTCCACTTGCACCTGCTGATGTGACCTTGGGTAAGTCACAAGCTCTGGCACAGCTGTCCTTGAAAAAGAGCAGTTTCTGCCAGAGTTCTCTCAGCCCCACCCACCTCACAGGGTGTCTGTTGTGGGGAGGGGGAGGGAAAGGAGTTTGTAAGCCGCTCTGAGACTCCAAGTGAAGGGCGGGGTATAAATCCAATCTCTTCTTCTTCTTATCCCAGGACATGTGAGCAACCAAGGGGCTGTATTATCCTGAATGTAGGAAAGACTGTACAGCATACGCAGCAAGAGAACCAAAGTGCTTGCCCTGGTCTAAGTGCAACTCTATTAGCAGGCCTTTTACACCTACTCACTGGAAAACTCAGATTAGACAGGCCCCAGTTACCAGCATGAGAGGCTACATGAGCTAGAGAGGGAGCATGCAAAATACACAAAAGCACATGAAACTGTCCAGATCAGAACACTGGTCTATCAAAGTCAGTGTTCTCTACTCAGACTGTCAGTGGATCACCAGGACCACAGGCAGAGGTCTTTCACATCACCTATTGTTTGATTATTTTTTTTTAAACTGCAGGTGCCAGAGATTGAACCCAGGACTTTCTGCACGCAGAGCGGATGCTTTACCACTGAACCAAGGCCCTCATGATGCACCAAGAGCTTTTGTTTCAAGCACCTAGAGTGAACACAGCTTTATCTAGCTGGTTAGTATAAAGCAAGCAGCTATTGTGCTTACCACTGCTGCCGAAACATCCACTGAAAAGGAGCCCCAGCTGAGAATGAGCGTGAACAGCCCACAGCACAGCATCCTGTGGACAAAAGGAAGACAACAAGAGCAAGGAAGTGAGATTTACTGGGAAGACAAGTCTAGGGACTAGAAATCCCACAGCTGCTACACCATTTATCACTTACCCTTCCAAGACGTAATCTTTGTCACACTAACTTTTACAACAACCTTCTGAGGCAGGTCACTAGTACACCCAGATGTGGGCCAGAAGCAGGAATTACCCCGGGCCACACACTGAGAGCACAGGAAAAGTAGGAGATTAACACAGGTTGCACAGTTCCAAGTCTAACTAACTGCGGTCAGTATTGTCTACTCAGACTGGCAGCAGCTCTCCAGGGCCTCAGGTAGAGATCTTTCACATCACCTACTGCCTGGTGTTTTTTAACTGGAGATGATGGGACTGAACCTGGGACCATCTACATACCAAGCAGATGCTCTGCCACTGGGCCATGGCCCCACACTGCTTGGATGCAGATGCAGTAATGCAAAGGAAGAGAGGTTGCTAAGAAGAAAGGAGAACACCAGGCCAAACAATCTGGTGATACAGTTGAAACAGAGCAATAGGTATGGAGAGAAAGGCTTATGTTATTCCATTTTTGCAGTCTCTGGCAGAACCGGCACTGAGATGAACCCCAGTTCCCTGGTGTTCGGGTGTGTGTGTCATAACGCATTTTAGAAAGCCAAGATATGAAGCATGAAATTGCTCCATATAGACCACCTAGGTAAGAATACATTTCTTCTTGGAACAGCAAAATAGGGAAGTCCCACACTCAAGCCCTTGTCTGGAACAGATAACACTGTCTCCAGTTCCACGTAATGTCAAACACTTGGGTCCTATGCACATAGCTATGCCAAACTCCCAATGCAATAGCAGGGAATACTTACGTAATAAGTAGACATTTTGAGTGCTTAGCCAGCCCCAGACAAGCAATAAGGCAAATCACCAAATCTAGGATGAAGAGCAAGAGGTAGGAGAGCCACCTGGGGAGAAAGGAAGCTGGTAAGATCCACACAGACCTGTAGGAATCCTAGACATCAGTGCATTGCACTGATGGCAGCCAGTAGAGGGCATATCAGCCCCCAAGATAGATAATAATAAACCAGAAGCATTGTTCCTCAGTACCACTGGATTAGTTCCACAGCATTTCTACGGATTTCCCCAAATATGCATGTGTGAACAGTCACACCTCTTATAAAGATCTGCTGACATATCAATGGAGAAAGTGGGGATTACAGCATTCAAGTGGACTGCATGTGAACGACTGTGGTTGCATTATAAATTGAAGAACCAGCTGGGTTTTCATTTATACTAGAAAATCCCAGTTTCCCTTTCAAATTACACCATTCCTGAGCATTTTACAATATATACCACAGAAAGAAACACCAATGATTTTGGGCAGGGGCATGTTTTTGTGGATGCCATTAGTATGTGAAAATGCAGTGTGTATCAGGCCACAGGGATTTATTTGTGTGTGTGTGGGGGGGGGGGAGCACAATTTTCACTGCAGACATATATATGGACTAGGAATAAGGCCCATTGTGGAAATAAATACAACGAGCTCTAGAAAGAGGCTCTGGGTGGGTGCCCTGGCCTTAGGCACTCAGCATCTATTTTCTGTGGCAACCTCAGCAGCGTATAATGACACAGAGTCCACCGTTTTCTCCAAGAGAACTGCCATCTGAAGAGCACTTGTAATTCTGAGTGATCCCCAGCCCTCACCTGGAGATTGGCAACAATGGTTCCCCAGGAGGAAATGACTGGTTTGGAGGGTGGCGTCTATGGCATTGTACCTTTCTGAGGTCCTGTTGTTGTTCAGTCGCACAGTCGAGTCCGACTATTTGCGACCCCATGGACCACATCATGCTAGGCCTCCATCGTGCTCCGGAGTTTGCTTAATTTCATGTTCGTTGCATCAATAACACACAATAACCATCTCATCCTTTGCCATCCTTCTTTGACCTTCAATCTTTCCCAGCATCAGGGTCTTCTCCAGTGAGTGCTCCCTTCTCATTTGGTGGCCAAAGTATCTGAGCTTCAGCTTCATTATCTGGCCTTCCAGGGAACAGTTAGGGTTGATTTCTTTTAGGATTGACTGATTTGATCTCCTTGCATTCCAAGGGACTCTCAAGAGTCTTCTCCAGCACCATAATTCAAAAGAATCTATTCTTTGGCACTCGGCCTTCCTTATAGTCCTTCCTGAGGTCCTACCCCTCATCAAACCCCACCCTCTCCAGGCTCCACCCCTCAAATCTCCAGAAATTTCCCAACCTGGAATTGGCAACCCTATCTCCTTCCCAGCCAACCATCAACCGACCTTTATCTGCCTTTCGGACGTCAGCATTCCATCTCCTCCCCTCTCCCAGCAGCCTCTGCCTAGGAAAAGAAAGGTCTTTCTCTACAGTGGGGACCAAAGCTGCTCACATCATTCTCCTCTCCCCCTTTCGATCTGCACAACAACCCTGTGAGGTAGGTTAGGCTAAAAGTCTGTAGTGGTCTGAAATCACCCAATCAACTTCCACAACAAGAACCTGGGTCTGACATACCCTGCTCTGAAGTGCTAACTGCTACCCCACACTGGCTGTCCTAGTTGACGGCCAGTTTGGAGTAGTGGTTAGGAGCGTGGATTCTAATCTGGGAGAACTGGGTTTGATTCCCCACTCCTCCACATGCAGCTGCTGGTGTGACCTTGGGTCAGTCATTAGTTCTTTCAGAGCTGTTCTCTCAAGGGCAGTTCTCAAAAGAGCTCTCTCAGCCCCACCTACCTCACAGGGCATCTGTTAGAGGAGGGGGGAGGGATTGTAAGCTACTCTGATACTCCTTTGGGTAGTGAAGGGTGGGGTATAAATCCAATTGCTTCTTCTTTTTCTTCTTCTTCTAAATATTTAATTTAAATATTAAAAAATAGAGGGGCTGCTGGAGGTGAAGAGGAGCAAGCAGCCAGGCCTAGTTGTCATGCAACTCAGGTATCATCAAGTCACCCATTTTGGCAGTTTATTCTATCAGGGAATAGTGGCCAGGCTGGCAGAGGGCGGGGGAGAGGAGCGGACCCTGCACCCACCCAATGGCACGCAAGTACTCGAGTGGCGGTTGATGGGCAAATGGCTGATGGAGCGCACAGCACAGCTAATGGGAGAGCTGGAAAGTACCAGTATGTTAGGTTGTTATATATATCAGATGCTCTGAAGTTCTAGTCCTCATTGTGCAGAAAAAAATACCCAGCTTGAAAACATACAGTTACAAGTTCCTCTTTTCTTTCTTCATCATTAAAAAATGATACAATTATACAGAATCTTGTACTAGGTTGTGTACCCTGTTCATGATGTGGGGAATGCAGTGCAGAAGGGACAAACAGCAACTGCTATATCCAGTTAGAATGTATTCAAGATAAGGTGGTAACAACCAATGTTCCCTCTAATTTCCCCCCCTCACTGAGCAGAGCAGTTCACATCCTGAGCAGAACATACCGGTAACTGCTGTAATCTTAAAATGGGCAATAGCTAGTGCAAGACCGTGAGCAACTCCAGATCGCTGCTGAGCAGAGCTTCCTGTGTTAATGAGCAGCTGCTCATGCACACAGCTTAGAGAGAACACTGGTAACAACCCTGTCTGCATCTTTCTGAACCAAGATTTCCCACACTCAGCCTTGTTACTTCAAGATGTGGTCCAGAACAATTTACAGTGGCAGCCTAGAATGATACAACCCTTCCCACTTCACTCTTCAGCCAATTTGGTACAGTGGTTAAGAGCAGCAGACTCTAATCTGCAGAACCGGGTTTGATTCCCCACTGCTCTGCATGCAGCCAGCTGGGTGACCTTGTGTCCCAGCCAGCCAGCAGGCAAAGCAGGCACCAGAGCAGGAAAAAACAATGCCAGAGTAGCCCAGAAAGTGAAGTCAAAGCCGGTCCAAGGGTCATTAATCCCCTGGTGCAGACAGGTCCAAGACACAGAATCAGAGGGCAGTCCAGATAGCAAAGTCCGAGGTCAGTCTGAAGATCACAGGGTGCAAGGCAGGAGCTGTGGTCGCTAGGTTCACAGATGTGTGACATGTTGCTTCCACAGCTTGAAGGCATGCCAGCTTGGCTTAAATAAGCCTTTCACAACAAGCTGATTTACACGAAAATTTCTGCAATCACTCAGGGCTGCTATCAGCCAAACGCTGGTGTTGAACCAAGAGACACGCACTGCGCCTTTGCTCTGTAAGTTGGAGGCGAGCTCACTCCCGGAGTTATTCTACTAATGAGGAGAAATAAGAAGACTCTTCCTCTGATAGCTGTGCTTCATCATTCCTTCCAGTGGTCTGCCTGGAGGAGTCAGAGTCCGCTGTCGGCAATGAATCTTGGCGATCCTGTCTCTCCTCGGCTGCTTCAGCTGCTTCTTGTGATCCGGACCCAGGTTCTGTGACACTTGAGGAGTCTTCCTCCAGGCTGATTTCCGACTGGTCAAGCTGGCCCAGGAGACCTTGTGTCAGTCACAGTTCTCTCAGAGCTGTACTCTCAAGAACAGCTCTCTCAGAGCTCTCTCAGCCCCACCTACCTCACAGGGTGTCTGTTGCAGAGAGAGGAATGGAAGGAGATGGTAAGCTGCTCTGAGACGCTGAGTGAAGGGTGGGATATAAATCCAACTCTTTTTCTACTCAGACTGGCAGCAGCTCTCCAGGGTCTCAGGCAGAGAAAGGTCTTCCTGAATACCTGCAATCTGAACTTCTTCAACTGGAGATGCTGGGGATTGGACCTACAGACTTCTGCATGCAAAGCAGGAGCTCTGTCACTGAGCCACAGCTTTCCCCCCATCTCCATAGGTAAGGGAGTACTTCCCTGGCATGGAGCTTGAGAAATGAGGCAATCGTTGCCTACTGTGTTCTTGGATATAAGAAGCTGTTCTATACCCAGACTGGTACTTCAGTGTTGTCTATTCTGACTGGCAGTGGCTCCCCAAGGCCGTTCCCAGTATCTCCAAGCAAAATCATTTGGAGGACTGAACCTGGACTTTAAGCATACCAAACATGTGCCCCATCACCACTGGGCCCCAGTTCCTGCACTTTAGTAGTCTGAATACTTCTTTGCTCTTCCCATAAACAGCAGAAGCAAATTATGCTGCTCACATGCTTAAAGAACATATAGCAGAATATTAATTCTTTCCTCAACAAGGTATCTGAATTACTTTGGTGTAGGGCTTCTGTTTAAAACAGAGCATATGTAGCTCTGGGTATTATCACTAGCTATCTTTAGGGGCTCCTCGGTTATTTTAGCACAAGGTGCCCCTTTGCTCTGAAGGGGCAGTTGTCGCCATGATATACCACAGCTTGCATCATACTATATGTGTGAGTGACACGCAGGCAAGCCGTGTCTCTGTGGCATGTGAGCAAATTCTCCCTCCCAGTTGCTGGTGGCTTTATAGCCCTGCTGCCCTTCAGATGCTGCTGTGCTCTGCTTTTGCTCACAGCGAGTGGGTTTCTGCTTCATTAACACTATAGAGGGGAAGAAGGGTCTTCCTCTTTTAATGACTGCCCAGAGTCAGGAAGGACCCAATTAAAATTCTGTTGCTGCAGCCATGAGCTGGGTGCAAGCAGGATGTGGCTTGGAGTCCACCTTTATTGCTCTCCAGGGGAAGCGGCTAAATTTGGAAGAAAAAGGTTACTGCTGTGTGGGGGGGAGCACTTCAGCATTTTAGGCCCCCCCCACTAGTATATTCCAACTGAGAGGGGTAAACTATGGGGGGGGCAGCACTCAAGCCCCCGGGATTTCCCGGAAGGGGCAGTGCCCCCCATGCTGCCACATAGCATCATGAAGCTGCTTAGGCTTAAACTGTGCAGTCTCATCCTCTCCTCTCATAAAGAGGCTGCCAACTCTACTTTCTTTCTCTGGGACTTTAGGACATTTACTTGTCAACCAGGAGTAACCAGGAGTCAACCCCTTCACTGCCTTACTGTATTTTTTTCCTTGGGATCTTTGGAAGTTCTGCTTAAAGCCCCTACTTTCAA